TTTTTTTTAGTAACTATAACGGTAACGTAGTTATATTTTTAAGTAACGACAACGAATTTACTTTCATCGTTTTTATTATTTATTTTATATACTTTTTATATTTTGAATCTGTTTATTATATAATTTCTATATATTCAATGTTTGGTCTTCAATCAATATTTGTAGTTTGTTGTTATATTTAAGACTCGTTTTTAAGAATAATTTTTAGAATAATTTATCATAATTACAAGAATAGATTTTATAAATATCGTCTTTTACAAATTTGTAAACAGAGAATGGAGGATAAAAAAAAGTGTGAATTTGCTGCATTTATGAATTTGATAATGAAAATCACATCTTTTGTATTTCTATCTTGAATATTTTAAAATTTTCTTAAATTTTTTAGTCTTATGAATTTAAGATAAAGTTTTATTATTGTTACACTGATAGTTTAATAAAAAAATGAGAAAAATTTATTCTTTATTTAATCTGATCTCGTTTTAGTATTAAAAAGATACGAAAAAAGTAATTAATCGTTCCTTTTTAAGTAATGATAACGATAATAAGTTACTATTCAGAATTAGTAACTAGTTACTTTTTTGACTCGATAACGAGTTATTTTTAAAAAGTAACTTCCCAATCCTGCAAACAGCTTCTATATTAACAAATATCGCTTGAATTTTTTGTTGCATTCCAATCTCAGGTCTTCCGTGGAGATGTGTGGAAGGTTGGTACTTGCAGCGTTGAATGTTGTTTGATATATAAATATAAAAAATGAAAATTTAAGTTGTGTTTCTTCTTTTTATGTACAGTTTTGCGTGTTTCACGAAATAATTTCACTTGAAAATACTTTTCACTATATTGGATGGATTTTTGTGTACATTTTAAGCAATATTTTTAAATTTCGAGATATGAACAGATACACAGGTATAACAAGTAATTAATTTATTATAATTACTTTGATAACTGTCAAGACGTTTAATGTAATTAACTACGCTCACCATTTATTATTATTGAAGAAATAATAATACATAACAATTTTATTTTTTAAGCTATTGTTTTATTATGTTATTACAAATGAACAGATAAATTAGCATGCGTGCATATATGCATGTATATGCGTGTTGCGTGTTTTGCGCGCGCGCGCGCATGTATTTTTTACGAATAATTGTTGCACGTCATAAGCATGATTTATATGAAAACACTGCATAGAATGTATCACGTTTAAGTTCATTTTACATGCGCACGTCGTTTCTAATGCATTTTGACTTGTTGTACGCAGGCATATACGGAATCTGTGCCACAAGATTTACCTGTGGGTCGCGAGGTCATGCGCGTTTCTGCCACTGATATCGACGATGGCGACAATTCCATCGTACGGTATGGTCTAACAGCTAAGAAATCGGAGGATGCTGAATACTTTCGAATAGACCGCGACACCGGTGTCATATTCCTGGCCAAAGCTATAAAGGTAAGTAACGCGAGGGTGAAACGATGTTAAGAGGGTAGCGCCTAACGCAACTTCGCTTTACAATGTTACTTCTAAACTAGAGCACTTGTAACACTACATACTTTGATAGTTTGAGTAGCGATAGCTTCGTCATTTTATTATAAATTGTCGTTCAAATTTTCATCGATGAACTCTTTTTACGTGAACGTGTATTCGCCTCGGAAGTACTATTTTTAACTAAACTAAACACGTTTTACACATTGAATATACACGTTTGCGCATTGAATTATCAAGAGAAATATTCATGACTATATTTTCTCATGTTTTATTAAAAATAAAATATTCCTCGAGTCCTGATAAATAATGCAACGCATCGATTCATTTTTCTCGACAAGCTTGAGCTCTCGCAGTTTATTTAACAAATCACGTAAATGTCTTACATTGTGATCATTATGAATTTGTGCAGCGGAATCCAGATTATAAATTCAATATGATAGCTTCTGCCGAGGATACTGGCGAAATCCCAAAGAGCTATGTCATTGATCTTGACATACGAGTTGTGGAATCGCATAAGAAAGCGCCAACTTTTCTACCGCGGCCGTCCGAACCGATCAAACTTCAGGAAAATTTTAGCGACTTCGATGCCAGCATTGTCCATTTGAAAGCAATTAGCAACATTGATAATTCCAGTAATTATGACAATTCCTACTTAGTCTTTGAGCTTGTGACTGGCAGAACGGAACAGTCTAACAAGAAAAACACGTTCAGGTATCAGACGATTTACCATTTTTTTTTTTTTTTTTTTTTTTCAATTTTATACAGCATGAAATGAAATAATTAACAAATGCGTTTTACATAAATATTTTATATTTATTATAGATTAGAATCTAATAAAGATGTAGCGGATATCAAGTTATCTCAGCATCTTGATTACGAAAGTAACAGGCAGTACTCGCTAATAGTAAGAGTACAAAACAAGTATCAATTAGCAGCTGAAACACTTATCGATATCGAAATATTAGATGTAAACGACAACATTCCAGTCTTCCGCGATATCAAAAGAGGAAGTGTGTTAGAAAATGAGCCCCGAGGTGTTCCTGTAATGCAAGTGCAAGCTATTGACGCTGATGGAACTTCCGCTAATAATCAGGTATTATAATTACACAAATGTAATTTTGCGCTCTAAGAAAGTCTTTTATTACAACTACGCATCAAAGTTTCATTATGTTTTACGCTTAATACAATACCTCGACTTTCGTTCTCAAAAGGTCACTTACCAGCTGGACAACTTTAAGGACCTCTTTGCCATCGACCCGCAAACCGGCAATATTACAACATTAGTAACATTCGACAGAGAAGTTGAAGATACCTATAATGTTAAAATAATAGCAATGGATAATTCGCCTAGTGCTTTGTTCAAAACCGGGGAACACAATAGAGGACAACAGGTGTTCCAAATTGAAATTGCTGATAAGAATGACAATCCTCCTCGGTTTACTCAGAAAGTGTACACCCATAATTCAGTTTACGAAAACGTAAATATTAACGCGCCTATAACTACAGTCGAAGCTATTGATTCCGATACGGCGAGTCCTGTCACGTACAGCATCATAGCAGGAAACACTGATAACAGCTTTTACATTGAAGCTACAACGGGAAAAATTCGCGTTAACAAGACACTTGATTATGAAAAAATCACCAAGTACAATTTAACTGTAAAAGCGTTTGACGGTGTATTCAATGATACAGCACAAGTAGAGATTTTTGTCGAAAACGTTAACGATAATCCACCGGTCTTTGAAGAGTTCAATACAAGTCCGAACATAAACGAAGAAACATTGGTGGACGGTAAAATATTAAAAATTGAATTTTCTATCATTCAGAATATTCGATAATTTTGTAACAAAATTTCTGATTATTATTTCTTTAGGATGTATCACCACTGTGATAGCTTATGACCCAGATATCGAAGACAGAAATGCCGATCAACATATTGCCTATTTTATCGTCAAGGAAGATCAACAACTCTTGATAGGAATTGACAAGTATGGTTGTTTGAAATTGAAAAAGCCTTTAGATCGTGATCCGCCGAATGGGTATTCAACGTGGCCTGTAAGTTATATACTATATCAAATTGATATTTTGAGAAATTAATTTCGTTTTTTTCATTATTGTCTTTTCATCGTTTTTGTCAGGTTATTGTGATGGCGAGAGACGAGGATGGTTCGTCTACGGCTCTTTCAAGTTTGGTGTCGGTTAACATTACGCTCAACGATATAAATGACAATGCACCGTTTCTCGATATACCTTATCCTGTCATTTGGGGTGAGAACAAACCAGCTGGCAAGATAACCGATTTGAAGGCACGGGATTACGACTCCGAAGAAAATGGCCCGCCATTTGAATTCAGAATTGCCGAAAACGCAGACGATGAAATCAAATCTAAATTTGACATACGTGAGACTAATTTATATACGCAGGTAGTGTTTGATCGCGAAGAGCGAAAAAGTTACGATATACCGATCGCGATCACGGACAGTGGTAAACCGTCTTTGACCGGTACTTCCACACTCACTGTGATCATAGGCGACGAGAATGACAATCGCATGCAAGAGGGCTCGAGTTCCATATTTGTTTACAATTATAAAGGAGAAGCTCCTGACATAGAAATAGGACGCGTTTACGTCAATGATCCGGATGATTGGGATTTGCCGGATAAATCTTTCGATTGGGCTTCTCCTCACGACGGTTTTCATTTGAATACCAGTACCGGCATGATCACTCTATTGTCGGGTATATCAAATAACACTTTTGTATTAAAGTTCATCGTCACCGAGCAAGGACGTCTTATTGATTCGCATCAAGTACACGCCTATGTGAATGTCACTATCAAGGAACTTCCTGAAGAGGCCGTAGATAGATCCGGTTCTATACGATTTTATGGTATGACAGCAGAGCAATTCGTGGAGCCTGACGAATCTGGCGTTAGTAAGAAGGAAATATTCCAAGAAAAATTGGCAACTATGCTGAATACATCAATCGAAAATGTCGACGTATTCACTGTGCTTCATTCGCCTCATCATAACAATAAAAGCTTGCTCGACATTCGATTTTCAGCGCACGGGAGTCCTTATTACGCTCCGGAGAAGTTGAACACGATTTTAGCGCAACATTCGAAAGAAATCGAACGGGAGATGAAGGCGGATATTTTGTTGGTGAACATCGATGAATGCCTAATCGAAAAACTTCATTGTAACGATTCAAATTGCCGTAATTTCTTGAATGTTAGCAACATTCCATATGGTGTTTATACTAATACCAGCTCGTTTGTTGGTGTTAGAGCGGTTGTAGATCCGCAATGCACTTGTCATGTAGCGGAGCCTATTGTCTGTTTAAACGGCGGTACTCCTTTGACAGCACGATGCGAGTGCCCACCTGGTCTAGAAGGTCCGAGGTGCGAACTATTGGGTATTGGCTTTCGCGGAGATGGCTGGGCTATAATGCCGCCACCTGGTCAAGCTTGCGCCGATTCACATTTAGGTAGGTTTATTCATATTGGTCTCACTTCTAGCTTTTATTTTCACATTTTTATTAATGTATAATGTAGAATTTCGGAAAAATTAACAAAAGAATGATCAATGGAAATCATTGATCATTTTAAATTCAGAATTCTTTACAAATCGTGCAACTGCAAATGTATAGTAAGTGTCTTTATAGTAAGTGTCTGTTGTGACTGTTTACTGTATGACGACGACGGTTTCTTAAAATAACTATTTTCGAATTCTACCAACTAATTAGCTTTATAGCTTTTATATTCCTAAAATATTGTTATCACAGGATTGGAAATAACGCCACATACGGAGAATGGTCTTGTATTCTATTTCGGTCCCATGACTTACAGTCCTAAGCTTGGTATCCAAGATTTCATGTCTCTGGAACTTCAACAAGGTTTTGCTGTTTTATATGTAGATTACGGAACAGGGACTGTAAGACTAGATCACAAACAGATCAAATTAACAGATGGCAGGAACCACAGAATAGACATTTATTGGACGAAAACTGTAAGAAGTTTTATTATATGTTTATTGTTTTATCCAAATCGAATATGCAAATTTTAATACGGTTCTTTTTTTCAGTCAATAGAGATGATAGTTGATAAATGCAGCATCTCTGCTTGCATGAGTCTTACTGCACCATACGGCCGAAATGAATTTCTAAATGTTAACAGTCCAATGCAAGTAGGCGGTACAGTAACTAATTTAGCATATTTAGCATCGAAGTTAGGATGGAGTTATGAACCGACTGACAAAGGATTCGTTGGTTGTATACGTAATATGACAATCAATGGAAATGTAAGTAATGAAATCAGAAATAATGAAAAAATTGACATAAGGAGAGATTATGTTATATTTTTTGTTTTAGACGTATAACTTGGGTATGCCATCATTATCCAGAAACGCAGATCCTGGCTGTGATCATAGCATGGCAAAGGCCATCTCGTTCGGAATTGATACGAACTTTATAGTAGCTATTTTGGTTTGTGTATTGATATTACTAATATTGCTTGTGGCGGTAGTTGTGCATAGAAGAAAGACGGATGATCTATATAAGGATATGGATGATATCAGAGAAAATATTATTAATTATGAGGACGAAGGAGGCGGTGAAGTTGATACGGGTTACGATTTAAATGTCCTGAGAGCGATTTATGATGCACCACCTATCGACTCGAAAATAGCTCCAGTTGGCCTACAGGGTAGAGGTATGATAATGGCAAATGTCATCGAAATATTTACATTATAGATTTGTTGTACAAAAACTAGAAAGAGAAAATTTTTTTAAAGGGGCCGACGAAGTTCCAGACATTTGTGGCTTTCTAGATGGTAAGAAAGAAAGCTGCGATAAAGATCCCGACACAAATCCATTTGACGACGTAAGGCATTACGCTTACGAGGGAGAGGGCAATTCGGAAGGCGATTTATCGTCATTAGCTTCCTGTTAGTATTTTTACATCTTTTCTTTTTTAAAGTAAATTTACATTTTTTTTTTATTTTTATATTAATCTCATCGATTTTCGTTTATTAACAGGTACTGACGATGGAGATCTCAAATTTAATTATCTATCTAACTTTGGACCAAGATTTAGGAAATTGGCAGATATGTATGGAGAAGATCCGAGTGACGAAGAAAGTGATGGCGTTGGTGAACGAGAAAGCGAAAGTTGGTGTTGAGTTTTCCTAAATGAGAACATCATAGATATAAAATTTTAACATAGGTAATTATTTTTTTCAGTCTTATTACAATTTTATAGTTCAGTACTCATATATTAGTGATCATTATTTTATTTTTTAGAAAACGTATACAGCTTGCAGATTTGCTCCAGCTCCAGCTGTGGTTTATGTAATCATAATTAGGAGCATACGTATCGGAAATTTTACATTGTGCAGATTTGTGCGCTGTTGTAGCTTCCAATTCCAATTAATTGGAAAGAAACGAGGGAATTGGAAAGAAACATCTATTGTACTTAAATGATACGAAACGTGGTCTCATTTACCGATTACTCTAATTCAACAGATGAAGAGATGTATAAGAGACGCCATCTTATAGACGCATGTGTAATTAATGTGTGATTTATTAGTAGACGAAATAAACTTTATAATTATGAGTGACTATACAGACGCTATATGAATTTCGTTTACTCGTAAAAGTGATGCGTATCTTATACTGACCCTTAAAATGAATTTTTATATTGTGTCGATAAAACTTAGCGCATTTATGTTATACTTTTACACTAGAAGTGATATTTGTGTATAAATGGATGACGAGAGAAAATAGTGCGTTCACTGTACGTTGCACGGATATGAACAGTAAAAGTTCTGGATTTTCGTGTTCTTGTATTTTCATCAAGTTGTTAAGGACAATCGACATTTCCATGCATATGTAAATTTTTTTTTTAATTTAATTACTTAAATATAATTACATATTTCAACCAGATTATATAGTAAGCGATGCTCTATTAGTTAGAAGTACCAGCAGCATAAATATTGTATTATGTAAACGGCTTAATACTTCGTCGATTATTTTGTTTGGAGATTACTTACTATTGGAGGAAATATGATAATATGAAGATATAATCAGAGGAAAAACTGAGAGATAGAGAAAAAGAAAAGAAGAGAAAAGAAGATAATATAAAATAGAAAGAAAAATGGAGGAGAGAAAAATTTTGTTAACATCTTTCAAAATAAAAATCAAAGAATCGTACATAAAAAAAAATCAATAATATTTATATAAACCTGTTCCTTCGTTTTCTTTTAAATTTTTATCAGAAATATTTTTAGATAAATATATTGTGTACAAAAATTACTCATTGGTCAAAGTTTGTTATACGCTCTCTTCTTTCTTCAATCAAAAAGAGATATTACTATATATTGGCAAAGTATTAAGCCAATCTTTTTTTAATTATTCATTCATCGAGTTAGAACTAGAGAAAAAACTACTGTCTATTTTGTTAATATTTTTTATCATTGAGTAATAGCGACGAAATGCTATGTGACTGACTTTAGAACTCGCTGTCTAGGAAAACTTGAGTAACTTTATAAAGTCGTGACTGCCAGATTCAAGAAAAGCAGCTAGCTTGTGTACATGCATTGTTAGCTTTACAGCATTACATTCCAGTAACAAAGAGAGCTGAAAGAAAGCAGAAATAATTAAATATCAGTTCGTAAAACGTCAATAATATATATTACGATTTTCTAATAATCTACAACGAGGATATAGTTTTTGTCAATTGCTAATCTGCATTCTTGAGTTTGGCAATCGCCAAGTTACAAAGTTTCCAGATTATTTTTTATACATACATTATATAAAGAAAAAAGTATATATATATATATATATATATAAGTATATATATAGATATAGAAA